TGTATCCCAGGTGTCCCAGGTGTGTCCCAGGTGTATCCCAAGTGTACCTCAGGTGTATCCCAGGTATATCCCAGGTGTGTCCCAGGTGTCCCAGGTGTGTCCCAGGTGTATCCCAGGTGTCCCAGGTGTATCCCAGGTGTGTCCCAGGTGTCCCAGGTGTCCCAGGTGTATCCCAGGTGTCCCAGGTGTATCCCAGGTGTGTCCCAGGTGTCTCCCAGGTGTCCCAGGTGTCCCAGGTGTGTCCCAGGTGTATCCCAGGTGTCCCAGGTGTATCCCAGGTGTCCCAGGTGTGTCCAAGTGTACCTCAGGTGTATCCCAGGTGTATCCCAGGTGTGTCCCAGGTGTATCCCAAGTGTACCTCAGGTGTATCCCAGGTGTGTCCCAGGTGTATCCCAGGTGTGTCCCAGGTGTATCCCAAGTGTACCTCAGGTGTATCCCAGGTATATCCCAGGTGTGTCCCAGGTGTCCCAGGTGTGCCCAGGTGTGTCCCAGGTGTATCCCAGGTGTATCCCAGGTGTGTCCCAGGTGTGTCCCAGGTGTATCCCAGGTGTGTCCCAGGTGTATCCCAGGTGTCCCAGGTGTTACCTCGTCGCTGACCAGGACGTGGATCCCGGTGGGTCCCTGTTTGTGGATCTGCTGGATCTGGTGGGCGGAGACACGGAACAGGTGAGCCAACTTCTCCGAGAGCTCGGCCGCCGTCAGCTCCTCCAGGTACAGCGCGTGGTACACTGAGGGCAGACAGGTGAGAACACCTGAGACAGGTACATACACCTGAGACAGGTACATACACCTGAGCTCCTCCAGGTACAGTGCGTGGTACACTGCAGACAGGTGAGACAGGTGAGAACACCTGAGACAGGTACATACACCTGAGACAGGTGAGACAGGAACACCTGAGACAGGTGAGAACACCTGAGACAGGAACACCTGAGCTCCTCCAGGTACAGCGTGTGGTACACTGAGGGCAGACAGGTGAGACAGGTGAAAACACCTGAGACAGGTACGTACACCTGAGACAGGTACATACACCTGAGCTCCTCCAGGTACAGCGCGTGGTACACTGAGGGGAGACAGGTGAGAACACCTGAGACAGGTACGTACACCTGAGACAGGTACATACACCTGAGACAGGTGAGACAGGAGCAGCTGAGCTCCTCCAGGTACACAGTGTGGTACACTGAGGAGAGACAGGTGAGACAGGTGAGAACACCTGAGACAGGGACATACACCTGAGACAGGTGAGACAGGAGCAGCTGAGACAGGTTGGAACACCTGAGCTCCTCCAGGTACGCTGCGTGGTACACTGCGGGGAGACAGGGACACCTGAGATAGGAACACCTGAACCAGGTGTGCCACCTGAGCTCCTCCAGGTACATGGCAGGGTACACTGAGGGGAAACACATAGGTGAGAACACCTGAGCTCCTCCAGGTACACGGCGTGGTACAATGGGGACAGACAGGTACACCTGAGACAGGTGAGAACACCTGAGCTCCTCCAGGTACACGGCGTGGTACAATGGGGACAGACAGGTACACCTGAGACAGGTGAGAACACCTGAGCTCCTCCAGGTACACGGCGTGGTACAATGGGGACAGACAGGTACACCTGAGACAGGTACACCTGAGACAGGTGAGAACACCTGAGCTCCTCCAGGTACACGGCGTGGTACACTGCAGGTGAGACAGGGGAGGCAGGTGAGAACACCTGAGACAGGTACACCGCATGGTACACTGCAGATGAGCCAGGTACACCTGAGACAGGTGTGTCACTTGAGCTCCTCCAGGTACACGGCGTGGTACAATGGGGACAGACAGGTACACCTGAGACAGGTACACCTGAGACAGGTGTGCCACCTGAACTCCTCCAGGTACACAGCGTGGTACACTGGGGAGAGACAGGTACACCTGAGACAGGTACACCTGAGACAGGTGAGAACACCTGAGCTCCTCCAGGTACACAGCGTGGTACACTGCAGGTGAGAGACACACCTGAGCCAGGTACACCTGAGCCAGGGACACTGGAGGTGACACAGACACACCTGAGCCAGGGACAGTGCAGGTGAGAGACACACCTGGGCCAGGTGTGCCAGGCAGGTGTGCTGCACTGCAGGTGAGGGTGAGCATCCCACCTGAGGTTCTGGGGTGGTTTTTGGGGTGATTTGGGGGTGATTTGGGGCAGTTCTGGGCGGGGTTTTGGGGGGATTTAGGGGAGAAACCAGGGAGGATTTTGGCTCCACCAGGTGTGGTCCCACATTCCCACCCCCCCAGGTGTGCTCAACATTCCCAGGTGTGTTCCCAGCTGTGCTCCCCCATTCCCAGGTGTGTCCCCAGGTGTATCCCAGGTGTATCCCAGGTGTGTCTCATTCCCAGGTGTATCCCAGGTGTATCCCAGGTGTATCCCAGGTATGTCCCCAGGTGTCCCCAGGTGTGTCCCAGGTGTGTTCCCAGGTGTGTCCCAGCTGTCCCCAGGTGTATCCCAGGTGTGTCCCCAGGTGTCCCTAGGTGTCCCCAGGTGTCCCCAGGTGTCCCCCAGGTATGTCCCAGCTGTCCCCAGGTGTTCCCAGGTATCCCCAGGTGTGTCCCCAGGTGTCCCAGGTATGTCCCAGGTGTGTCCCGAGCTGTCCCCAGGTGTCCCAGGTGTGGCCCAGGTGTGCCCAGGTGTGGCCCAGGTGTGCCCAGGTGTCCCCCCTCACCGAAGAAGGTTCCGGCTCCGTCCCCCTCCTCGGGCTCTGTCCGGGGGTCCCTCCCCTGCCCCGACTCCTGGCACACGTAGAGAGTCAGGCGGGGCCGCACCTGCCTGGTCCCCCACAGGTGAGGGACACAAGTGGGAAGGGACAGGGACAGGGGAGGAAGAGGGACAGGTTGAGGGGGGACAGGGGATCAGCGTGAGGGAGGCACAGGGACAGGGGAGAAGGGGCAAGGGGACAGGTGAGGGGACAGGGGAGAGGGAGACAGAGCGCACAGGGGAGAGGGGACCAGGGACAGGGGTGAGGAGGAAAGGGGAAGGGGGGACAGGGGATCAGGGTAGGGGGAGGGGGACAGGTAAGGGGGACAGGGGAGAGGGGACATGTGAGGGAATGGGGAAAGACAGGAGGGACGGGAGAGGGGAAGGGGAGAGGAGGACAGGGGGAGGGGACAGGGGGAGGGGACAGGTAAGGGGGGACAGTGGGACAGGGGAGAGGGGACAGTTGAGGGGTGGGACGGGACAGGTGAGGGGGCACAGGGGAAGGGGAGAGAGGGACAGGGGGACGAGAGGCAAGGGGACCAGGTGAGGGGACAGGTAGAAGGGGGGGACAGGGGGACAGGGGAGAGGGGACAGGTGTAAGGGGGGACAGGGGAAGGGGACCAGGGAGGGATGGTGGAAATTACAGGGCAGGGACGGGGACGAGGCGGGACAGGGGAGACGGGGACAGGGGAGGGGGACAAGGTAAGGGGGACAGGGGAGAGGGGACAAGGTGAGGGGGTGACAGGGGACGGGGAGGAAGATGGGGGAGAGACAGGACAGGGTAAGGGGGGGGTACGGGAAGGGGACAGGGAGAGAGACAGATGAGGGACAGGTGAGAGGGACAGGAGAGGGGGGACAGGGGAGAGACAGGTGAGGGACAGGGGAGAGGGACAGGTGTAGTCACTGCCACGCCCCCTTGGCCCCTCCCAGGTGTGCTCCGGCCAATCCCATCCCTGAGGAAAAGCAGCTTCGGCCCCGCCCGTGTCCCCCTGGGGACAGGTGACACCTGAGCCGGGGGGTGGGAATTCCCACCTGGAACGCTCCTGGAATGCTCTCACCTGTCCCTCACCAGGTCCCCGGGAAGCTGCTCCCAGACATTCCCACCCGGACCGGTCCACTCCGGTTATCCCAAAAAAAGGGCATTTTCCACCTGGGTTAGCCCCCAAAAACCATCTTTTTCATCCGGGAATTCCCGGATTTGATCCTGAATTCCCGGATTTGATCCCAAATTCCCAAATTTGATCCCAAATTCCCAGATTCGATCCCAAATTCCCAGATTCAATCCCAAATTCCCAAATTTGATCCCAAATTCCCAGATTCGATCCCAAATTCCCAAATTTGACCCCAAACTCCCAGATTCCATCCCGAATTTCCAGACTTGACCCCCAACTCCAGGATTCAATCCCAAATTCCCGGATTCGATCCCGAATTCCCAGATCTGACCCCAAATTCCCGGATTCCATCCCAGATTCCCAAATTTGACCCCAAACTCCCGGATTCCATCCCGAATTCCCGGATTCCCCCGTACCTGCCCTTGAGGGCGTTGAAGAGCCGGATCCCGTCGGCGGGGCCGCAGATCTGGATCACGTCGTCCCTGCTCAGCTTCAGCAGGTCGGCCCCTGCACGGCCCAGAGCACCCCAAATCACCCAAAATCACCCAAAATCACCCAAAATCACCCCGAATCACCCCAAACCAGCCCAAAATCAGCCCCAAATCAGCCCCAAAATCACCCAAAATCACCCCAAATCACCCCAAATCAGCCCAAAATCAGCCCCAAATCAGCCCCAAATCACCCCAAATCACCTGGAAAAAAACCCAGAATCACCCCCAAAATCATCCTAAATCAGCCCAAAGTCACCCCAAAAATCACCTCAAAATTACCCCAAAAGCACCTCAAAAGCACCCAAAAATCATCCCAAAATCAACCCCAAAATCAGCCCCAAATCACCTCAAAATCAGCCCCAAATCAGCCCAAATCACCCCAAATCAGCCCAAAATCACCCCAAAATCACCTGGAAAAAACCCAGAATCACCCCCAAAATCATCCTAAAATCAGCCCAAAGTCACCCCAAATCACCCCAAAATCACCTTAAAATCACCCCAAATCACCTCAAAATCACCCCAAAATCACCTAAAAAACTCCCAAATCACCCCAAATCACCCCAAATTAGCCCAAAAATCACCCCAAAATCACCCCAAAATCAACCCCAAATCACCCCAAAATCAGCCCAAAATCACCCCAAACTGATCCAAAAAACTCGCTGTTTTCAGCCCCCAAAAATCTGCACTTTTCAGCCCCCAAATCCTCATTCTTCAGCCCCAAAAATCTGCATTTTCCAGTCCCAAAATTGGCGTTTTTCAGCCAAACCCTGCAATTTTCAGCCCCAAAATCTGCATTTTTCAGCCCCCAAACGTGCATTTTCTGCCCCCAAAATGACATTTTTCAGCCCCCAAATCTGCATTTTTCAGCCCCAAAACTCGTATTTTTTCAGCCCCAAAAATGGTGTTTTTCTGCCCCAAAACCTGCATTTTTCAACACCAAAATTAGTGTTTTTCAGGCAAAATCTGCATTTTCCAGCCCCAAACCCCACATTTTTCAGCCCCAAAACCTGCATTTTTCAGCCCCCAAATGTGCATTTTCCTGCCCCCAAAATAGCATTTTTCAGCCCCAAAATCTGCATTTTCTGCCCAAAATCCACATTCTTAAGCCCCAAAATCTGCATTTTTCAGCCCCCAAACACACAATGCCCTGCCCCAAAACTGCCATTTTTCAGCCCAAAAATCTCACATTTTCCAACCCCAAAACTGGAATTTTTTCACCTGAAAAGCCACATTTTTTCAGCCCCAAAACCCGCATTTTTCAGCCCCAAAATTTGCGTTTTTCAGACCCAAAATCTGCATTTTTTAGCCCCAAATCCGCATTTTTCAGCCCTAAAATCTGCATTTTTCAGCCCCCAAATCCACATTTTTTAGCCCAAATCCACATTTTTCAGCCTTCAAACGTGCATTTTACTGCCCCAAAAACAGGCATTTTTCAGCCCCAAAAATCTGCATTTTTCCACCCCAAAATCTGCATTTTCAGCCCCAAAACTGGCGCTTTTCAGACCAAACCTGCATTTTTCAGACCAAAACCTCACATTTTCCAGCTCCAAATTTGGTGGGGTTTAGCCCCAAAATCCACATTTTACACCCCAAACCCTGTATTTTTCAGCCCCAAAATCCACATTTTTCAGCCAAACCCCACATTTTTCAGCCGCAAAAATTCGCATTTTCTGCCCCAAAATCTACATTTTTCAGCCCCAAACCCTCACATTTTTCACCCCCAAAATCCGCATTTTTCAGCCCAAAATTCTGCATTTTCCGCCCCAAAATCTGCATTTTCCAGCCCCAAAGAAGGCATTTTTCACTTGCCTTTCCCCAAAATCTGCATTTTTTGCCTTTGTTTTCCCCCGAATCAGTGTTTTTTCAGCTCCATTTTCCCCAAAATCCGCATTTTTCAGCTTTATTTTCCCAAAAATCCCCATTTTTCAACTCGCCTTTCCCCAAAATTGCCATTTCTGGCTTTGTTTTCCCCAAATCAGCATTTTTTCAGCTTCGTTTTCCCCAAAATCCCCATTTTTCACCTGGTTTTTCCCCCCATTTGCCCTTTTTCCAGCTGCTTTTCCCCAAAATCTCCATTTTCCACCTTTTTTCCCCAAAATCCCCATTTTCACTTTTTATTCCCTAAAATCCCCATTTTTCACCTTTTTTTCCCCAAAATCACCGGGCACAGGTAAACTGGTGACCTGGCACAGGTGAGGGGTGACACCTGGCCCAGATGAGACACGTGGCCCAGGTGAGGGCCGTGCCCAGTCCAGGTGTGCGGGTGCCAGGTGAGGGCTGTGCCCTGCCCAGGTGTGCCCGTGCCAGGTGTGGGCCGTGCCCTGCCCAGGTGTGCCCGTGCCAGGTGAGGGCCGTGCCCTGCCCAG